AAAAAAAAAAAAAAAAAATTTCAAATTAAACAAAATTGAAGAAACCACTTCTAAGACGCTAATATAAAGAGTAAAAAAAAAGGGGGAAAACCAAGAAAATAAGATGGAATTTAATGAATTTAGAAGGTATAAACAATTCATTTATTATTAAAAATTAAATATGAAATAATAATTTAATTATTGATAAATGAATAATTTCAAGTATTTGATAATTTAATCTTAATTTCTATTTTATCAAAATTAAAATTTTTCATTAAAAAAATAAACTAATTAATAAAATATTAATTAAAATTTTTAGTTTTTTTTTAAATAATTTTTTGTATAGTTTAACCAATATAAATCATCCAAATAATGTTTCATAATTAGTATTAAGAAACAATTTAATAAACATTCGAAATTAATTTTAAAATATTTAATTAAAGAGTAATCATCACTCTAATTTTTTAAAAATTTGCTTTAAAAAATGTGTTTAAAAATTCTTAAAATAAATTATTATTATTTTTTATTTAATAAATGAATTAATTTTGTTTTGCAAAATTTATCACTTCAAATCTTAGGAAGAGAAATAGCAGATTTTACACATCTGCAATTAATAATTAATTCTTACTTAATTATTTATTAAACTATTAATTATGTTAACTAATGTTTAATTGGTATTACACGCCGAGAATTTTATTAATAATAAAAATATTGGTTTCAAGTATGATTCTGTACACAATTTCAAATAGGAAAGATATCTTAAGTATGTAAATAGGAATAGAAAAGGTCAATTTTTCATACTAATTTTAATGAAGAATATATTTAAAAAATTAAATAAAACGGAGCATTTTAAAAATTTAATTTAGTTTTATTAATATACTACGTACTAATTTTAAGAATAATTTCATGCGTTTTTATTATTATCCTGTAATAGGCAATCAAGATGAAAATCTTCCTAAAGATGCGATGTATTCGTATTCCAATCAGGAATTAAGATTTTTTGTGGCTCTGAGATATAACAAACAATACGTTATTTATTTTTTAACAACTAAAAATGGAAAATACAAGCAAACATCGCCTCTGAAACTGTCACTAAACCGAGTGTGATTTTAAACTGAAGTATCTCAAACAATAAGAATTATATATAGTAATGCGATCTAACCACAAATCTAAGTTTCAGAATTCGAATATAACGTGGATTTGGTGATAACAATGATGTCTGTAATGCAAAATCGTACATTTAATAATTGCAGAGTTCTCTGTTTAATATTTAAACGAAAGATACGTTCACGAGTTAGCTCCATTAAGAGTGCGTTATATCGAGGTTTAACTATAGCCCTATATATAACTTTTAAATTGTATTTGAGAATAGAGCAAGACTCCCTCCCTCATGTCATGAGATTCGTTTTCTTTTTGTTTAGCTTATGTGTAAATACAACCTAATTCTAATTGACAACGTTTTCTGAAAATCATTTTAACCATTAATGAGAATTAATATGGAAATACAGATTCCAATAATTATAATATGAAAATAAGTTTCCCATAGATTTATTTTATTAACTTTATACAATTTTTCCATAGATTTCATGGATTTATGAGATTTTTCTATACATTCAGGAAAAAAATTTTCCTGTGCTAAATTATCTTGCAAAAATTCATATTTTTACATTTGATGTAGAATTATTTGATTACGATTTTTAAAAAATACAATAAAACTTTCATAATTATTTCGTATACAAATTAGTTTCAAATATTTAAATATTAAATGTCTTCTAATTTAACAAACTTAAAATTCCAAAAATCTGATTTTTAATTATATTTTTATCATTCAAATACACAAAAGTATTCAATATAAAAGTCTGAATATAACTTTAAAAATTTTTTAAATTAAATTTTATACATAGAAAACTATTTTTATCAAATAAAATGATAAAAATTTAAACTTACATTTGTAAAACATACATTAAATATTATATAATTTAAAATATTTACTGATAAATTTATAAAAATAATAACTTCTGAACGAAATTTTATGCATAAAAATCAATCAATTATTTATACAATTAATTCTAAACAAGTAACAATATTATAATATTAAATTAATAGCAATTATCCACTTCAAGGATCAATCAAAATCTCAATAAAATGATTTAAATGTTGTCACTTAAATATCAATCTTTCCTTTCCTCGTTGATAACTAAATTACCCCATGATTAGATCACGTCTTGTGTAATTTTATTACTTAAATTTATTAAAACGTGAGCTAGTTTTGAAAGTGAGATTAAATAATTCATAAAAAATTAATAAAAACCGAATATTTTTACATAAAAACAGCAGTTTTCAAACAGTTTTAATATATATATATATATANTATATATATATATATATATATACAATTATTTTCTCATATTTTTATTAATTATTTTGGCTTTAAAATTCAAATAAATTTGCATATAAATTAATATTAAACTCACTAATTAAGAGTGTATATTTAAAGAACCTTAATTAATACAGATTTACATGTTATAAAGTTTAAGAAATACAAAATATTTATGAAAATATATAAATTTAATCTTAAATTACGAAAAATTAATATTAAAAAATTATAAAAGTAAAAACATTTTATATCTGATTTTATAACTTTTTATATCTTGATCATTGTTCTGATGAAAGAATAATGGCAAAAAATGTAAAATACATGATGAGAATATACAATCAACAGTAAAGTAATGATAAGATATACAATAAATAGATATAATTATAAACAATTTAGTATTTATTATATATATTTACCATAAACTGCGCATTTTACAATTATCCTTTAATCTGAACAATGGTAAAGATATAGAAAGTACTAAATCAAATACTATAGGGTTTTAAGAAAAATGAGAAAATTCTAATACAGTATTTAAAATTTACAGATATAAATGTTAAAAAATTTACAAGTAATTGTAAATTACATAAGTGATAGCAATCAAGATGAAAGAATTAATGCTGAATTTAAAGCAAACAATTGACAATATATTAAATAAAAGTTGAAAATTACAACAAATATCATAACAGAGATTTAATAATTTTAAATTTTTCAATCAGAAAATTCTAAAATTTTTAGGCAACAAAATTCTAACGATTTAACATCAATTCGCACTTGTTCATTGATCTTTTCCTCAACTTCTGAAATCTTTTATATATTGACTGATATGTTTTCTGAAATGTCACATTGTATTTCTCTGCTATTTTTTTTTAACTAAAAATATTATTTGATTTTGATGTACAATTGTTAATAATTTTTTTTTTCATTCCAATTTTGATGAAAGATAAAAATATATATATATATATATTATCTCTAATAAACTATTTTTTATTGCCTTTCTAGAAATTCTGTTTATAGTTTTATCACAAAATATTTTAAAAATAAAACTTTATGCATTAAATTATTTTATTTTATTTCGAATTTGATAAAAATTAAAAGTTTTTCTATCATATAAAACTAATTTCAGAGATTATTAGAATATTTTGCATATTATTCATTATTAAAGTTTTAAAACTATTTTTAACTAAAAAAATTAGAAATATATAAATTTAATATATCCAGGATATTGATTAAACTTTTTATTCTTTAATGCTTTCTGGTACTTTCAAAGATTTTAATATGACTTTAATTTCGATTAATTTATACAGACCAGTCCATTACATGTTGAAACCATTGAAGCTGAATGTAAAACTTGTTAAAACTACAAACTTGTTTAGCGCAGCCGTTTGTTTGCCTCTGAAATTTGGCACTAAATTGTAAAGCGCTAATCCGAGGAACCTCAAAAAATAAGAATTTTGTAAAGCTGTGAAATCTATAAGGCCTACACAAATCTATGTTTAAAAGTTTAAAATTCATTGGATTTGGACGTTTGTAATGCAAAATCATACATTTAGTAATTCACAAATATCAAAGGATTTCCTATTTAATATTTATGGAGACGATCCGTTTACAAGTATTCATTGGTACTTTACAAAGTGGCGTTATTTAAGAGAATGCTACATTCAGATTGACAGTATTAGAAGTTTATGAGATTCTAGCTTAATACTTGAATTTTCGATTGAAATTTTATGGGAAATCATATAAAAATTAACTTTTAAATTTTTTTTCTTTTTTTTTTGTATTTATTCTTTTAACTCTCTCTTGAATCCATGTTATTGTGTTTGCAATATAAATCTAATTTTAATACAAGCACCACTATTTGTTCTAGCTCCATAATCTAGAATTTCTCAAAACAAATTTACACATATTCAATATTCAACTGAAGTAAAAGTTATAAGTATTTCATAAATACTTTGTAAATGAAACTTACTTTAGGTCTAAAGGAGATGCAATATTTTCCAACATTCTTTAATATAATTTCTGAGACACAGAAAATATAAAAAAGTGCAATAGCAACAATGCAGAAAGCAATAAATTAATAAAGAAATTTTATATATTGAACAAAAAAAAATCAAAATCCAAAGCTCAAACGCATCGTGAAATAGATAAAAGCTGTTGATTTATACTAATGTTAATTGATTAATACATTCTATAAAATTATATGAAATGAAAAATCGAAATTCTAAAACTCTTAATGCATATTTAAATATAGAGAAGTGGAATGGCACAGGATCAACCACAAATACAAAGCCTTAACCACTCTCCAAAAATGATAAAAATACGTGAACAAAATCAATAAAAAGTAATTTTTCAATTCTTATCAAAAGAAACTTTATATCACTTTTGTATCATGTTTTTACATAAAAGACAAAATTTTGGAGGCCCATCTGTGTCTGGGGACAGTGCCAAATGATCCTGCTGGTTCCTTTCTATTGCTGAAATGATAAAGATGAATAAAGAACATGCTTTAAAAAGATTAGATGTAATTAATCTTTTTTCATAAATGGAGGAAATATTCTGATTAGAAAATATACTTTGTCTTGATTATATCTCATTATACATGACAAATTACACAGCACAAAATGGTTTATCGTTGAACCTTCCAAACAGTGCAAGCTAACCTATATGTCTACTCATAAAGTGTTCAAAGAATGACTCCACCCATCGTTAAAGAGTCAAACGGCGCCAACAAGCGTCCATAACCCGAGGTAGACAACAGATAGAAGAGCTAAAATATGATTTATATGTCAACGACCTATACAAATTTATAAGAAACGAATGTTAATTAAGGCACGTATCGAATTCATATCTCAAGAGTATTTTGAAAATGAAATTAAAATTGTTATTTTAGATCAGATAAATATTCCATAAAAATTTAAGAAGAGTAATCTATACTATTGATTTTAATATTAATTTAAATGCCATTTTTACAAAAAATAATCTACAGATTTTTTATAAAAAATCGATTTAGATTTGTAACGTTGTATCTAATTAAATTTTTAAATAAATAAGTAGCACATAAACAGATATTTTATATTATAAACTAATAAATTAATTTAGACTTTTAAAATTGTAGGAGAGGAGACATATGAAGTTCAGGAAATGAAGTATATAAAGATTCGTAAAATGACATTTAATAACTTAAAAAATATATAAAAATATAAATAAATATTACTCACAGAATATCTTTTTCGTTGAATTTTTTTCTAAAAATCCTAATTCTGTAATAAAATATTATCAAGACAAGACAAAAAAGTTGTAATTGGTAGATATATTTCTGCTCAGAATCTTGCCGAAAACATTACAATTTCGATCAAAAAACTTCATTTTGAATGCCAACTTCCACTAAATTGTTTTAAAAAATAATAATAATAAAAAAATTTAAAAACTTACAATCAAAACCTCGTTCTTCTTTCTGTTTCGTTAGAGGCATTCCTAATGGTGATGCTCCACCCGAAGGGTCCAAACAAGGTACTTCGTACGAAGAACTGGACGATGAAGTGGAGCAAACTGCTTTATTTGGACTAGATATTTGTCTTTTATCTTTTTTCCAACTATGAGTGAATTTTCGAGGAAATTTGCAGACGCTTAAAGTCGGTTTCGGTTGTGAATCCCCTTTAAGTGTCTCTCCCAAAGAATTACACTTTCTTAACTGGACACCTTCCGAACCTGAAACAAATATATATAATTTTATTTTTTAAATATATTAAAATTATTTTTAAAAATCTTATGACTATAAATAGAAGAAAAATAAGCTCAAAATTAAATAAACTTTAATAGTTTATAGGACACTACTTAGGTAATGTCCTATAAACTAATTAAAAATAATTACCTGCAAAATGCATCTCATTGTTGATTTAACAATTTTTAATAATAAAATTGAATGTTTTTAAATCTTAAGATACTTATATACTATTTAAACTCGTTCAAATCCAGAATTTAAAACTAAAATAGAAGTAACGTCGTTTTCTAGGTATAAAACTAATGATGTTAATTAAAGAGGTCTTGACTCGACAATGATACAACATCCATTAGATAATTACTTGAAGAAAAATTTGCAAAACAATTGCATAAGCATATTTCATACAAAATAAGCATTCTCGTGAAGGATATCACGTTTTATATTAGTTTAAATTTATTGTAAATAAGTATTTACTCGGTAACTAAAAATAATATCGGTTAAAAATATAAAAATCATGATTTTAAAAATAGAAAAAAAATTATTTTTAAAATTTCACTTCGTTGCAATCATAAAATATTTAAAAATAACATAAATTTATCACTTGAGACGAAGATATATACACATATAACTTTATTGAAAGCTCTGAATTTATAGCATAAATACTACGGGTATTTTCTGAGTAAAATTATATGAAGAAACTTAATAAAATATTAAATAAGAATAGAAAATATAAATATATAGTAAATTATTGTGAAAATATAACGTACAAGAACATTATAATATTTTTCTTATTAATGTAAATGGAAAACGAGCGAATGATTTAGCACATTTACTATGCGGTTGAAGTATCTATCAATGTTGAAATCTATAAAGTATCACGTATAGGATATATATTATACAGTACTATGTTTTTGCGGAATTATATAATAAAATAACGAGATATTGCAAAAAATATCGCATTAAAATTATCACGTCAGAAAGATTTTACACCAATCAATCTTAAGCAATATTCTTTACTAAAAAACCTTTTACGACCACTCATTTTACAATGCTGAATAAATTTTCTATTGTGCCTAAATAAAATACCCTATTTAAATACTTTTCCACCTCTATGTAACATTATATAATTTAAAATATTATTTATACATTGTAACCTTAATTTTACAACACTCTGCTGATGGTAAATAGGATGACTCGTTTTAAGACAGTTTTCCAAGAACCACTTAGATCATGAAAACGGAAGTCAATTGCACTTTGTGTGGGATATTGATTTATATTATTAAGAATATTATTATGCTTTTTTTATTTTATTAATATTTAATTAATACAAATAAATAATATAGTCAAACGTATAAACAGCAGCCAACTAATAGGAATTAACTAATTGGTTGGGAATTAACTTTGAATGCATTTTTGTTTTAAAACGTTTCTAAAAAAAATGGCCGTTCTTTAGAAGCTTCAAAAATGTATTAAAAATTTAAAAAAAACAAATTGAAAAAATCTAAGAAATAATAATTGTNGAAATATCTTCAAAATATAATTCATTTATAATAAATAAATTCCTAAATAAATTGAGTTAGATTTTTGAAGGTTCAATTTCCTGGAGATTCCTGCTTTTAACATTACAGTATTATATTTCTCCGATAAATTTTTAATTAAAATTACTTCCAAGACTCTATCTAAACTGTATTGCGATATAATTTATAATTAAACCTATTAAATAATTTTATTTTTATACATTACATTCAGGACGATTCAAGAGTTCATTAACCATTCCAAAGACAAATTCCTGTCTTCTTAAAATACTTTATTATTTATCAATAATACAAAAAAATTGTTCGAAGTGAGACCGTTCTTTTCCAATACAATGAGAGCGATTACAAGTTAGTTAACAGAGCCAATGCCTCGGTTAACCAACTTTTCGACAACTCTATACAGATTGCATCAATGAAACAAAACATTCTGTTAAAAATTACTGTTTTTGTGAATCTACTTGATAACGGAATTGGTTGAATGCTGAATGAAATTGAAGATTTACTGTATTCATTGTAATCGATTCTACTAAAGTACGAGTATATACAGATAAATGAAATTTAGTTTAGGATCTACAAACTCATCTCAATGCAACTTCATAAATCTATCCTATTAAATGTAACTGATATCTATAATAAAATTTTGATAATGATTATAAATATCTTTTTTAACAGTTATGATCATGTCTATAAGTTTAATAATCTTATTCTAAAAGTAAATAGTAAGACCAGACCAGAAACAAGGATCGTTTAGCCTGGGCAAAGAGATTGTAAAATTTAATCTTTTAATCTAAAAACATGATGTGAAAATGTTTGAAAAAGTTCATATGTAGTTACAAATGAACTTTTCCAAACATCGAGACAATCGTGTCTCTTAAATTCCGATTAAGATAAAAGATTAAAATTAATATAAATATATATTGGCACTCTAAAAGATTTAGGTTCGAGTTCAGGTCCTCCACTGTGATAAAAATCTCAGAGAATGATACGAATAGTTTAGACTCCGTTTCTCGCTGTTTTCTTCCTCATTACGGATTCGATCAAAATCGTGGTGGACTTACACAAAAGCAACCCTCTTAGTCAGCAACCCTCAGGGTCGCATAAAAATGTGAATATAAAGCGAGGGTCACAGATGACCCTCGCTTTAAGTCCTAATATAATTGCTAACTACTAATTTTCGTTCTATATCTATACCCAGATAATGCCTCTAAAAAATTAGGCTGGACTCTCAAAATTGCCTTAAAATGATCTTTCTTTTAATGCGTGCAAAGCAGAACCAAATCATTTAATACGGGAAATAAAATAATTAATTTTAAATAATCTTCAGCAGTGTTAGAAATGTATTGAAACTGAACGAGCAATTATTTATTGTGACATCGTCTAAATGCTGGGCTTCAATTTTTAATCATATTTTTAATTTATTTAATTTAAAATATATGCTCGTCACATCAAATTAGTAGTGGCTTGCCCCTGTACATCATACTTTTCCTTTAACAATAGAGTCATGCCGATCATCTTGCATCTAGCTAACACTTTTCAGGGAAATTTTTGAATTGAAAAAAACGTGACTTCCGATTTATATCGATAGTTCTTTTATAGTTAATCGAGACCTCTTGCCCCTATGCTTTCCCTATCTGGTCTCATCCCTCATCTATTTAACTCCTTTCTCGAAATTAAGGAAAGACAGGCGGACGGACGGACTGGAAATTTATAGGTCTACAATTTTTTAAATTGCAACCCAACAACATTTTATAACTAAATTAAGTCTGAGTCAAATAATTATTCTTTTAAAATTATTTCATTATTACAAGATTATATCTTGTGGTAGTGAAATAAAATATTTTGTAATAGTGAGGATTATAAAATTTTTTAAACTGAATCATCTTATGAATAAATAATATACTGTATATTTAAATTTTTAAAAGCACAAAACTAGAATTTTCTAGTGGGAATTATACGTATAAATTAATCTAGATTTACTTAAATATTGTTATTCTGCTCATTTTAATGTTATTTATAAGAAATCAATACAAAAGTAATAAATATAACTGCTTGAAACATTTTAAAATAAAATTTTTATATCCAAATTTCAATTTTAAATACAAATTTAAATAAATTAATGTTATTATATGATATCCTCGTATTCTCAGCCAAGAATCAGAATGAGAAGTTAACCAATTACCATTTATTTTACTTTAAGTACGTAAACACTTAAGTACTGTTAACTTCTACTTCTGACTCATAATTTTTGACTGTGAACACTGTCACGAATCATTCTTAAATTTAAATTGAATGTTTAAAAATCCAAATATTTAAAAATCTATCCCTATATAATTCCATATTAATTTTATTTTTGATTTTTCTATTACTTAAATAAAATGTTGAAAAATCTTTACTCTACTAATTTATTATATATATTTTTCAATATTTACAGATAAAAGATTTAATAATTTATATTTTTCACATTAATGTTTAAAAATATTAGAAAATTTATTTGAAATGAAAACAATTCATTTTTCATTTCTATTTTAAAAAATTATTTCATCAAATTTTATTACCATGAACTTTCACGAACTTTTTGAATAAAACTAAAACAAAGCGATATACAACATATGATCTGGGATGTGCAGAAACTTGAAGGGTTTCCTTACAACAAACTACAAATCGAATTAATTGAGTTTTTGAAGATTTATATGATAACGGCATTTATAGATATTTGGATAAAATCAAGCAAAATAGTACAGAAAATTAATTATATTAGAATATAATGACTATTCAAAAACAGTTCAAATAGTAAATAGAGTCATCATTCTTGATTGGGAACAGGACCAGATTTAAACATAAGCTACAGCTTAGGACCTACCGATTTTAAACTTATTATCATTTGATTGAGTGCAAAGAGCCTCTTATTACATTATATCTTAGAACCACAACAAGTCTAAATCCGGCCCCAATTAGAAAGTTCCAACCGGAATAGCGTTGCAGCAAGCCCAGACAAAGAAAAATCCAAAATTTAGACTTTATGTTACTTTCATTTGTTTTTATATATAATTTTCTTTGAATAAATGGTTAAAATTCTGCTTATATTTGTTTTATTCTTATATTTGTATGACTTTTGGAGGCCAACATTTCTCTGTATACAGAGTCTTATCTCATCTCTCAAACCCTAAAAAGATCATAATATAACTCTATTATAGATTACTTTAATAATTTAGATCTGAAAATAATGCTATTTTTATCTTATACATTCTCAAGATTCACAGAATTTTACTGAACTTTCAATCGATAATTGTTCTATTTTTTTATACTTCAAACAATTTACTTTTCCGTTAATTCTTTATAACGAAAATTTCTGAATAGTTTATTTATAAAGTTATAGAATGCAATGTAGATATGAGATCTCGATTAACCAAATATTTATTTAAACATTTACAATGAAAATTATAAAGTCAGAT